GGCGCCCTATTTTTGAGTCACATTGTATTCACTGTCATGTAGCGTGTATGTGTAGTAACCACGTAAGGCAAGAAAAAGTATGACATACACCCCCCTAATATATTTTGTACATTTTATGTGCTGACAAGTCACTTACTTAACAAGTCACATGTTTTATCATATGGATCCATGAAGCCATGAGAGGTGTTAACACGTATCATGGCTCTGACATACCTAATTTCAAAAGGCTGCTCGGTCTCACGTGTCAGAACGTTTTATTGTTGTAACCACAGTCACTAAAACCATCTTGTAACGAACTGATATATGGAATCGATTACTAGTATCATTTCCATTGTTCCGAACGTGGCTGTCTAAGATGCTGTATTTGAACATCCAAAATCTTGTCGCGATACACTTTTATTCCAAAGATATCATGTTATCTATGTTGACAGAGTGGCCTGGCTGTCAGTATGTCTGTCTGTAAACTTTTTACACTTATAATTTATTGGTTTAAATAACATATTTGTACATGCTTGGAAGAAAAAAAGTCTTTTGTTAAACCGCTGAGTCTATTGTTTCGACATGACGTCACACAGCCACGGTTTTCTTAAGAGCCTCGCTTCACGAGTTCATCAAGATTGTTTCGAGTTCATTAAACGAGTAGTTTTTAGCAGGAAGTCAAATTGACGAATACAGATATTTGTCGTTTAGTCGAATCAAACGAAGATTTTAGGACCTCATGCTCTTTTTTATCGACTGAATGCAATTTAGATTTAAAAATTGTTTTGTCTATGTCTGCTGCACAATAGATGGGAGTAAGGTTTCGTGGGGTCGATTCATATGTACTGTGTCTTAGTCAGTCAACGTAATCTGTACCTCTGAGTGATTCCTTGTATTACAGACTTGTTTTATTAATAAAAGCGGGTTGTATCTTATATATATATATATATTTGCACTACGCATGTCCCATTGGATGATATATTTTCATCCCAACAAACCCCTACCCGTTGACATGAAACACGTTTTCAATACAAGAGAGGCAACAACGTTACGATATAATAGTAATCGTTTCGTTCCACTCAGGTGTTACCGACAGTAAATGGTTTCCACGGTGATATCAAAGCGATATAGTTGCACGGTTTGTAGCTACCAGCCGATGCTGTTCCAAACGACCTTCGTATCATGTGTTGTAGGATCGCTGTTATTTACCGGTTTTGATTTTCTGCAAACTGAAATATCACAAACTGTAGTAAAGTATTTCGCAGATTTCCTGCGTCCAATGCGATTAACTAGCGACAAAAGCCACAAGTATGATAAAAAACGAAACAGTTTTATATCGCGCAACTTTTGAGTACTAAATAAACGAAAATTCCCGCTGTATATTTAGAACGATGTCACAGGTCAGCGCTGACATCAGGTAACTACGTAAAATTTACCGATTGAATGCCTTGTATCATTAGTATCTATATTAGCCAGCAAAAAGGCAATTGTTAATTGTATCAAATGGTTGAATTGGTCATACAAGAACGCCGGGACTAGCGAATTGAGTAAACAGACGCCCTCTTGCGATGACGACAAATATGTTAACGTTCTGTTAGTTGAGGGCGCATCGAATAATATTTCTTTGGCCTGGAGTGGTATTTAGAGACAGCAAATTATTTAGATGGTCGAATGGTCTACAATATTGCCATTAATCAGTTTCACGATAGCTGTTGTCACAGACCTAAAAAACGGCGTAACTTGTCGTATCAATCAAATAACCACCATTTAAATGATTTCGTAAACGGCTGTCTTTAATTGAGGATGGGATGGGGTTTGCTGGTTATTGGAGTGAGGAGATAGAGTGGGACTGTGACTATAAATAGATTAAATTGCAGTCGATATCGTCGAATATTAGAAGATGTACATGCTTTAAGACATTCTACACGTATTTAAACACAAATATTTCAGAACGTTCATTTAATTATTAATTCGAAATAGCCGTAATACAAAAATCAAATCTAAGATATGATATCGAGTTTGAAACGGCGATAGATTGGAATATAAATAGTTAAATTAAATAATTAATACTTCGTTTAACAACACGAGGTGAAAATAATAAAATAAAAACTCAACACGCACGTGCGCTAATTTTATTTCGGTAGTCACAATAATATTTTTTTTTTTCTTATTTCTTAACCGAACGAATTCTAATTCTAATATTATAATATATAATATGTTTGTCCCATACTACAGGCAACTGTCCAAAAAGTGCAATAGTAGTATAATTAAATATACATTAGTTAAAGAAAGGAACACACTATATACAGGACAAAATAATTCAATTTACTTTGAGAAGCGTGTCTTGTCTCTCAAAGGTAAACAAATTTAGCTGTATAACGTATAATGGCAACTTTGGTAAAACTAATAAGTTCGATAAAATTTTACAGGATAACACCCAGTGAGACAATGTAGCAGGATATACTAGACATGTAATTCGTGGAAGGTGGGACAAATGAGACAAAGGTTCAATGGTGCTATATGTGTATTGTTTAACAAATGTTAGAACTATGTTATAATAGTGCTTTCCCTATCTTTAACTAAAATTTGACAGCATATTTAAAGTTTAATATCGACCATTTTGATTAACACAACGGCAATAAAAGGCAGGGTAAAATATATAATTAATATATTTGATGATAAATTTAAATAACGGATTTATACTGATTTTTGCAATTTATTATTGGCAAAATCTATCTCCTTTCTCTTGCATGGTGACCCGACATGGAATTAACAATTGAATTGTCTTGTGTCGTCGCAGTAAATGGTGGGACGATATATAGTCAATAGTATGCCAGGTAATAACAAACTGAGCATGGATTCATGGCAATATGTTTTTTTGCAAATGAGTCGATTTACAATGCAAGCGAAAGGTTTGAAATCGGAAGCAAATATGACAATAATGCATGAATTCAAACTACAATCACGAGATAATACTAGTATTCTTAATGGGCGGTGGGCGTGTGGTCGCGTTCGATTTCCATGGAAACACGAGTTGAACGCGGCGCCCAAGCATATCACAGCGACTTCACTGAGATCCTGAGTCTATCAAGATAATCCCGACAGCAAATATGAATTGTGTTCTTTGCGACATTTTGTGTCTATTTAGGGCATTAACTAGGTCCGTTAGAATACAAGCACATTTATTTCTTCACTGAGTTGTACACTACCCATCAATGACCATAGTTGCTTATTGGACATGTAGCGCCCTCACTCGGTGAGTGCACTTGCTGTTGGTGTTCACCCTCCACGTACAACTGAACTCGTATTTACCGATCATCCGAGCAGTGCAACAATCACTACTCATAGAGTAGCAACGGATTCAACATCGATAAGTCCCGATTTCAAATCTTATGTCGGGTTGAACATAACATGAAATTCTCAACCTTTGGCTTGTACGCCCTAGACGCAGTTTGGATGACAGACACACTTTTAACATGAGTCTTATTTACGGTTAGCGCTTGCTCAAAGAAATCAGATTGTGACACACTTGCTTCACATACACAAAAGACGAAGATAGTTTATTTAAACACACAATCTGCCTATATATACCCTTAAATGTTATTATTTAGTGATTTGCTGTATCTGGTGGGAGGCACATATCTTTATTTCTGATATAACCAACAGATGTCAACACTGACCACTATAAATAATGGAGTATTTACTATAAAAATGATTCCTTGCCATGCATGGTTTATTCTACAATACTTATCTACGAAATAATGTTGTCATGTTATTACAATGGTTCTAATATTTTATTAAGGAATTCATATCAATTAAACAAAAATATAACGTGTTCTGGAGAGTTTTTAAAATAAATTATTTTACACTTGGTCCAATGTGA